CGTGGCGGGAGCGGGACGGCCTCCCTTCCCCGGAAGGGCCTGTGGGCGGGATCCGGAGCGTGTCAGCTGCTGGAGGCTGAGCGTGTGTGTTGGTCTCGGAACGGCAGGGAGCAGTGTGCGGCCCCAGCCCTGAAAGCCCGGCCGCGTCTTGGGCTGCGTCCAAAGCAGCGTGGCCAGCAGGCCGAGGAAAGGGGTTCTGCCCCTCTGCTCTGCTCTGGTGAGACCCCAGCTGGAGCTCTGCATCCAGCTCCGGGGCCCCCAGCGCGGGAAGGACGTGGACCTGTTGGAACCAGTCCAAAGGAGGGCCACGAAGTTAATAAGAGGATTGGAGCACCTCCCGTACGAAGACAGGCTGAGAAAGTTGGGGCTGTTCAGCCTGGAGAAGGGAAGGTTGCGTGGAGACTCATGGCAACCTTCCAGTATCCGAAGGGGCCCCCATGAGGGGGAAGCCAGAGAGAGACTCTTCATCAGGAACTGTGTGATAGGACAAGGGGTAAGGGGTACAAACTGAAAGACGGGAAATTTAGGTTACATATCAGGAAGAAATTCTTTACTATGAGGGTGGCGAGACACTGGAACAGGTTGCCCATGGAGGTTGTGGGTGCCCCAACCCTAGGAGTGTTCAAGGCCAGGTTGGATAAGACCTTGAGCAACCTGGTCTAGTGAGAGGTGCCCCTGCTCATGCCAGGGGGGATTGGGGCTGGGTAATCTTTAAAAGAACCCTTCCAACCCTTAACATTCTGCGATTTCATGAAGAGCTTTAAAAGCGCTTAATTGTACACAGTCTCTAGCTTGATTTTCTAAACACTTGTTTGTTACCACTTGTACCTGAGGACTGGGTTTTCTGTGGGAAAACCTCTTCCTTGGGATCCCTCTCTTTTACCTGTTGCAGTGCCTTCAGGAATCTCATCAAGCCTTGCCAACTCAGAGTAAAATGTGGAACTGAGCCACCCTTCCACATCCACAAATACCATGGAGGCATCTCATTTTGTATTCATTGGTTGGATTGGGTGGATGGGGTACTCCAGTCTGATTTCCAGTAGAGGCTTTGGATTTAGCAGGGGAAATTGTGAGCCTCTGGAACAATGCCCACACCAGGTAATCTGCAGAGAGCAGCCAGGCAAAGAGCGGACATCAGACCTGAAGCTGGGAGACAGAAGATAAGACAAAACCCCTGCCACAGGAGATACACTACAGGATCCATCTCTGCATCACTCCTGAGTTTCTCTTCCATGTCTGATAAAGCATCTAATAAGATATTTCAGGGTACTTCCAAAGAACTGCAATTCCTAGCAGAAAATCTTATTTTGCTCACCACAGCTGCTCTGGTGCCTCCTGCCAGAGAAAGAAAATGCAGCAGAAAGAGTTACCTGCTCCCTGTGAAGGAGCCTGATATGCCTCTGTTCCCAAAACATCTCAGGGCTGCTGTGGGGTGAGCAGCTGGGGCCATAAGACTTGCTTTTTCCCAAGCAAGGTAGTCAACAGGACCAACATGTTGCTGGCAGCTTTTGCAGGTCAAACACCAGACTACACTGATGAAATCCAGTGGTCTACTCCACAAGTCTCCCAAGCCTCTTCTTCTGGGGAAAGGGCAAATGCCAGGGCTACTACAGATGACCTCCAGCAAACAGTCTGCCAAGTGTAAAAGTTTGATTCAGAGTAGAGCACCTATGTCCAGCTTGCTTTGAGCATAGTTTTAGAGATGGTCAAGCAAAGCCACAACAAAGACCCTAGTGAAAGGGAAGTTCCCCTACTGCCTTTGACTTTGTGCTCATCCAAGGGCTGAGAAGTGTCCAGTGGGAGTTTTTCTGTGGAACATTTTACCAGGGAGATTTCCCACAGCTGACACTCCCACCCAAAGTACACTGGGGATTTTACAGCAGCCTCCTCCTGTCTTCCTGCAAAGACTGAGAGCTCTTCCTGTCCCAAGGCATTTCTGAGAAGGCACAAAGGCACAGGGAATGGAGAGCAGCACTGTGCACTGGCCCTTTCCAGTAAGTTGAGGCTGACCTTCCCAGCTATCTGGCCAGTGTAAAATCCTCCAATGTCTCAAGCTAGGCAGATGAGAGATACAAAACCTTTTACTCCTGAGCTTGAATCATTCCTCTGAGAAAGACTGTGTAAGGCAGTTGGACCCAGCTGCACTCCCTGCAGCATCCCTACAGATGTTTTGGGAACACAGTCATTCCAGGCTCCTTCAGGAATGTCAGGGAGCAGGTAATCTTCCTGCTGCATTTGTTTCTCTGTCTGGAGGTAACAAGAAATCTCTGTGTGTGTGTGTGTGTGTGTGTGTGCACATGCTTTTCTGTACAGATGCCTCCATCGCCTTCAGCACTTAATTGAATTACAAACTTGGCTTCAAAGAACATTACTGGCAATGCCAAGATGGCTTTGTCACATAGCCATCTAATCATGCCACATGGCAGGAACAAGAATTTTGCTATAACATATGGAAACTGAAGCCTAGAAAATCATCTAGAGCTATCTGGGTAGTTTTTATAACAACTAACTATTATTAATGATGAGGTATTCCAGGGCCTAAAAGAGTCTTTACTTCTTGGATAACTCCACACTTCCACATGGTAGCAGCTGGTCTTTGGACTCTGCAGCAGATGGACTCAGCTGAATAGTCTCAAGTTTCATGTTACATCTAATCCAGTCTAACCAGGACTTCTGCCGAAAGGACTGGTCCTGCTCTTCTTCCCTGCCACTGCTTGCCTGTTGCTGATGTTTCCCATATATCAGGTCCAACAGCAAGACAGCTGGTGTAAGGATAATTCCTCTAGCTGACTGGGTGGGAAGCATCTCCTTTGTGGGTCAATTTGTTTTGTTGTGGACAGGTGAGCTGCAGAGACATGACACTGTGTGGCTCTAATTCCTCTTAGTCTGCAACTGAAGAAGCACAGGAGCAGATGTAGGAGAGAATTAGACCAGCCTTGACTCAACTGGCTGCTGGTAGGCTGGAGATGGCATACTATGAAACTGTGCTCTGGCTCATACGTGTCTCCATAGCTTCCATAGCATGGGCAACCTTGTAAAATCTAACTCTGAAAATGATCATGTTCCTTGCAGAAGTCTAGCAGCTCCGTACACCCATCCCCCTAGTTGCTGCTGCTCATAATTTTCTGCAATATACTGAAGGTTTCAGACATATGTATTTCACACCAGGACTCGTGTCAGCAACACAGCATGGATCTTGGTGCTGCTTTTCTTATGGAGGTCTTGTTTTTAAAGCTCAGCTTATGATGATGTTACAGCTTTTACCTGTGACCTAGTGGGCTTTGTGAGCTCCAGGATTTCCTTCTTCTCCTTCACTAATTCATTTCCACCCTTTGAGATGAGTATTAACTGGATGTGTCCTGCAGCTATCTGTTGCCTTTCCCCTGAATGGGATGGTCTTATGCTACTTCAAGACCTGCAGTACCTCTAGCACTAGGTTTGTGCCAACAGGCTGTGCAGGTTGCAGACAGATGTAATACCTGCTCCCTGGTGGTGATTGCCTGTGCTGGGGCTTGCTTTTCTTGCAGTGATCGGCCCTAGACAGAAGTGGGAAGTGATGCAGGAACATGGGTGCACCTCTGAGGCAGCTTAAAAGCTTGAAGATGCCTGGGGTTTATCATCCTGGAGTTGCATGGTCATCGCTTTGGGATTAGCAAAGGGTGACCAGTTGTATAGGAGACAACAGAGTGCTTTAATCCCCTGTGTGGGTGGGATGTGCTGTTTCCTCCCAAGGGTTTCAGATTTTTTAGTGCCTGCTGCTTTCCTGGTGTGACACTATAATTTTTTTTCCAACTCCCACTTTTAGTCTAGAGGTACAATTCTAACAAGTTTAAAAGTGTTTTGTGGCTTTTGCAGTGGACTTTCTGGACTTCACAGCAAAGGTGCAGGTCTCCTGCACCCTAGGGAGATCAACTGCTGGTACACAACATAGTCTGGGTAGATGCAAACAGACTCAGTGTGATTAAAATACTTTTCATCCCTTCACAAGGGCTTTCCTCCTCGTTTCTTAGTTTACCTAAGATGTGATTAGGAGGTCTTGTTATCACCTCTTCTGAATACAATATATTTAACAAGTATTATGTGAATCCTTGAAAGTCTAGACATCATCCATGTGCATATCTCTAATATCCCAAAGCTGGATACATTCAAGGCCAGGATTTGACATCTCCCTGCATTTGTGGTATCTGTCATATTACCCTGGCTTTCACCCAGTCTATAAAGCCTGGGGTTACTTGATAAATGCTTTCTTGTTTTAACAGGAACATGAACCTCGTCATCCCTATGTCACCTCCTAATCCACCTTGATTCAACATGACTCAGGGAGATTGCTTTGCTACAGTAAATAAATCTGAAAGATTTTGCTGCCAGTTGTACAGCTCTGGGTTTACTCCACTGTCCCTGAGCAAAAAGCTACCCTGTGTCCAAGTGTCAAAGTTTAGCTGGGAACTAATGAAAGCAAAACAGATTTTTTAAGAAAACATCGAAAAGAGCCCAAAATGGGGCTCAGGCAGCCACCCTACAGTGACCAAGAGCCTGAATTTGATGAAGAAATTGGCATGCCAAGGACTCAGTATGATGTCCACCTT